CAGGTGGAAAAATGTGGAATATATGAACCATTCACTCTTTATACGCTCACATGGAAATGTGGCCGTATATTGCCCCCGTTCGTCCGTCTGTCGTCAACAATTTCTTGTGAACACTCTACAGATTACATTTATCATCTGATTGTTTTGAAATTGATATACAGTAGAATCTGTACGAGCAGCCACTCCTATTCAGCAACATCTCCTTGTAAGCGGTTACAATAAATTTCCCCCGTAGAAATTTTATTGTTTCATCTCTTTAATCAACGGCCACTCCTCTAATGCGGCCAGCAGTCACTATTTTACTAATAAATTAGCAAAATAGTGCTTATTCAACGGCCATTGTTGAATGATAGGTCTACCATCTTGTCGTACTTCATAGAACTTCCGCTAATCCCGTGATTAATAATCTATTCCCCCACCGATCAGGTAAAACGAACTGTGAAAACAACGATAAACCCGGGATTGCCTGTTAATTAATCTTTGTTTTATTAAATTAATGACAAACCCTGATCATTGTTTTCACACGTATTGAAACATTATTAGATACTGATTGAATAAACTAATAGTACTATCAAAGCCGAGTTTTGTTGCGATCATTTAGTATCTATTTTCCATTGCCACTCTTGAAACCCCATTTCATTTTGTTACTAAACAGAAGTTTTAGCGCCCCCTTAAAAATCGGTGACAAATTCAGCGATGTATTTTTGGACATGTGCCTTTTGATAAAATAAAATTAATTTAAGGATTTTCTTCACGAAAATGGATACATAATATCGAATACATCACAGTGGTTGACCGTAGTATCAATGTTGGTACAAAATGACCCGTTTACAGAAGATAAATCAGAGATTTGTGTCAAATAATTATCGTCCCAAGCAAGTTTCAGCGACAGCCAAATTTTCTGATGCAAGTATTGATGTTTGCTCCCTAAGCATCAAAGCGTAAAATTTACTTGATGTCAGCACTAACAAACACTCAGATTATATTAAGTGGCCACTCCCATTAAGCAGCCAGTCATGAAAATTTCCTTGGGTGGCAGCTTAATACAGATTCTACTGTATGTTGTTTGCATTAGTGAGATGTAGAAGCTTATTTAATTTCAATAACTTCCGTTAATTTCTTCTGGAGTTATGGCCCTTGTTTCATTTTGTTGCACCTTGTGAACAACAAAAGTTATCAACCGATCTGTATGAAATCTATATGCATCAATTAAATAAGTAAAACAAAGAAGCCTATTGAATTTCAGCAATTTCCGTTAATTACATCTAGAGTTATGGCCCTTGTTTCACATTGTTGAATCTTGTGAACGTTCTAATGACAACAGTTATCATCCTATCTGTTTGAAATTGATATGCATCATTAAAATTAGTGAAACGAAGAAGCCTATTGAATTTCAGCAATTTCCGTTAATGCACCCTGTATGAAATTTATATGCATCATTTAAATTAGTAAAACAAAGAAGCCTATTGAATTTCAGCAATTTCCGTTAATTACATCTAGTGAACACTCTAATGACAACAGTTATCATCCGATCTGTTTGAAATTAATATGCATCATTTTTATTAGTGCAACGAAGAAGCCTATTGAATTTCAGCAATTTACGTTAATTACGCCGTGAGTTATGGCCCTTGTTTCACTTTGTTGTACCTTGTGAATGCTCTAACGACAAAAGTTATTATCCGATCTGTATGAAATTCATATGCATCATTTAAATTAGTGAAATGAAGAAGCCTATTGAATGTCAGCAATTTCTGTCAATAACATCTAGAGTTATGGCCCTTGTTTTACTTTGTTGAACCTTGTGAACGTTCGAACGACAAAAGTTATCATCCGATCTGTATGAAATTATGCATTATTTGAATTAGTAAAACAAAAAAAGCCTGTCGAATTTCAACAATTTCTGTAGATTACTTCCAGAGTTACGGCCGTTGTTTTAGTTTTTAGAACCTTGTGAACCCTCAAATGACAAAAATTATAATGTCATCTGTATGAAATTGTCTATTAAAGACCACGTAAGATCAAAAATCTAAATTGCATGTATGTATAGCCGCCCATGGTTACTATATCAACTTTACGGCAAGTTCACACCAATCTGATTAAAATTAAGTCCGCTGTTAACGTTTAAGTATCCGACACGCCAAAACGCTTTTCGATTTTTCAATTACGACCTTAATCCGGTTGATTGGCTGGTGACGTCACAGGCACTACACATAGGATATACATTATCTATACAATATCTCACTGTCTGTACAATATAGCACTATCAATACACACAGCAACTGGACAAGCGTCTATTGACGGTCCAATTACCACGTGAATTTAAAATGCAGTATCATGCTGTAGATCAATTTAAGCTGCCTTTGTTTAAATAGGCCACGTGTCAAATGAAGATGACTCAAGAAATTAGCGCATTTACCGGTAATTTGGATAACCCCGTAATACTTGATATCCCAAACTTAAGTACAGAAATACAAATGGTGCCAGTCATTTGTCGATATATTCATTAGTAGTTATATATAATAATAATAACCATTTCTATACATAAAGAACAACTACAGTGAATATGGAATTTTCCGATGACTCTGCATAACATGTACAATAGATCGCACCCATTTCTCTGCCAATTAACGCTTGGTATCTTATTATCATGTACCGTTCCATGTACTACGGGTGTAGTAAATGAGGTTAAACTTCACCGCGAAAATTGCACGGGATCATTCGTGGAGTTCCTGGTGCCGTTTGGTGAGTGATTAAACTGTCAATGCAATTGTAAAATAATTTTATTATAAAGAAGATAACCGATGTTAGACATTATAACCTAATCGTATCAAAAACGTTAATCCACCCATCAATTAAATGTTGTTTAAACGCCAATGAACAAATAACACGAGGCTACTTGATTACAAAAACACCGGTGAGCAATAATTATTGGGTATATAGTAATTTTAAACAACTTATTAGTAAAACTTAATTATTTTATACAATTAATGTGTGTGTGTATGATTCTACCATTAGTTCGTTCGTGAGGTATTACGCACACGTTCCACTTAGAGTGATGTCTTTGATCTGGTCGGCGTAAAAAAAGAGGATTACCTAATCAACATTCTTAATCCCACTAACACTCACTGCTAACACCACTGTGTAAATTAATTTATAACCCATGCCTGTATAACTTTTATAGTCGGATTGATTAATTATTGACAGATATTAACGACACTACACTTTATGTGGAAAAGCGAAGTGCTCGCAGTAAAAAACACATACCTGAACCCGTATATTATTTACATATTAAAAGTGTTCGTCCAATAAGTTCCATATTGTAAAAAATTAATTAAGAGTTCAATACTTCAAAGTTTGAAAGTTGTAGGCACTCTAAATTGGATCTTAAATTAAAATGAATTACAAAACAAATTATTCCGTAGTCAATTGTTTTATTTAATTAGGGGGATTAAGGAATCCTTCAGGCGGTAAAGAATACACACGCCAGCTGTATATAGGTCATTAAGGAATAAACATTCCGAATATGCCTTCGGTCACTGTGACGTCACTGGCGTCTGAGGGGATTAAGAGTGTTTTCGATAATTGGCAAAGTCGTTTTTACGGAAGGTCAATTTTTACGACTTTGAGTGAAGATAACTGAATTAATTTCAACCAGATTGGCGTGAACTTGCCGTAAAGTGGATATAGTAACCATTGGCTACATGTATCTCAAAGTTTCCGGGCCCGTCTTATGTGCACTTTAAATTCCCCTAATTACCTACAAAACAATAAATATGCGACAACCCTTGTCGACTGCTTGGACGATTTAGCTGCTGTTGGCGTGTGTTTTGTTGCCTGGCAACCTATCTTTATTTTCTGGATTTCCACAGCCTCTGGCAAAGTCACTATTGTATACACAACCTCCAAAATTGGCATAGTTTATGTCAGTTTGTTTTTTATCAATTTACAAATTGTCTATTAAATGCCCCTAATTCCCTACAAAAGAATAAATTTGCGACAATCCTTAAACGTGTCTAGAGTGACTTTTTGCGGAGATTATGAATAAGCAATCATTTTGGATGTACATTGTATTGTTCTAATTTTATTTTGCCTCCCAAATGAGGAAAAAAAATGGTTATTCCGCTTCACAAATTGGAATATTGGGCTTTGACAATCAGATTAAAATTACTTCTGAAAGGCTCAGGCCCCTCATATTTGTCATTTTAGAGCAACTTATAATGTAAAATAAGAATATAGACTCATTTTGGCTACAGGGAGTATGATGAACTGGACATTCCAAGAACAAGCAAATGCCACACAGTGATAGACCACATTCCCCAGTATTTGGACCGCCAATCAGCAAGACCTGGGAAGGGACTTGCAAGAAACAAATGATAAATGTTTTTCAATTTCGAGTGACAAGATGTCAGTGAATATGCCAACAATGCCGTGCCCATAAATACCTTACGCAGAAATCAGTGGGTTGTGAACAGTTGGTCAGTGTGGCGGAATAATAAACGTGATATTGAGCGAAAAATCCTGTGTGTGCTGGAGGATATGAGTATAAAACCTTTTTTTTTGGATGTCCAGATTCATTTTGGAATTCAGCAAAATAAAATGATGAATATTACCAACCAAATTCCTTTTAGTTATGGGAATAGTTTCACATTTACGGATTGCGAATAAAACTGACCTGGATTATAAACTTACACAATCCAGAATTTGAGTTTCAGACAAGTTCTTGATGGTCAGATGAAGAAACTACGTAACAATTTTACAAAAAAGTGAATAAAATGTTAAAAGAAAGAATTTGTGTCCTCTTTCATTGCAGAGTCCGTAAACCTGTTGTGACATCATCAGAGAGTGATATCTGATGTCGACCCTAGGGGCGATATCAGATATCACCCTCCTATGATGTCACAACAGGTTGATACGTTTAATAATATGCATGGGAGATCAAAGGAAATAACATCCCAAGGTGTGTAGGTATATATGTTATTGTTATACATATATATTTGTAGATTTTACAAGCGATGGGCAAATCATATCACCCAGGATGTTTTCGATGTTGTATTTGTAATGAGTGTTTAGATGGTGTACCATTTACAATAGATGTAGATAATAAAATCTACTGTGTTGAAGATTATCACAGGTAATATTTCTTTACAAAAACAAAAAATGATTTTTTCAATTTTATAATCGTCCTGATGGCTGATAAAATTGTATTACCTGGTAAGTAGACTTTATATACTTCCTAAAATAAACTAGATAAATTTATTTTCATAATACATGTTGATCACAATTATGACTTTGAGAAAAAGATGGGAGATAATATATTCATTGTCCTCTGTTGTCTCCCCTTACACAACATTGCTCAATTTCAAGGAGTCCCACACATAAGAGTTTTAGTTATTCTGGTGATTCTTTTGTTAGAAAATAGAGAATGTTATTTGTGTATTATTAATCTCCCACTGGTTTTGTCTTTCTGTCTATCATGTCTATACCTATATATTTAGCATAATTGTATTATAATATTATGTCCTATATTCAATTGATTTAATGCATGTCCAAAATACAAGTAAGAATGAAAATTTACCCTCTCACTCATTTTGTCCAATTGTTATAAAAATCCAAAAAGGTAAAACACAAATTCGGATATGATGACAGCAGACAAAAGACAGCAAACATTATGTAGGTGGAGTTAAGGCCTGTCAATCAAATGATCGGCCATACTAAGAATCGATGAAGATGGAATTCAATCCCATTTCTAGTCAAAAATTACACTGGTGATAACTATGTTCAGAATAAAGTAATTTGACTGAAATTTTCAATATATTCTTCTTTCATCATCTATTTTTGAACTGTTATAGCAAGAATGGCTAACTCCTTATAAAAATCTCCCCATAATGTATCTTTAAGAATGATGAATGAAAATGAAGTTATTTGATGTAAAAAAACAAATCCTGGCACAATCCATAGACTGTTTGGTCTCGGTATGATGTTATTAAGTCTCCACTGAAGTTCATCCCAGAGAATTTCAATCGGGGTTAAGTCCGGACTAAGGGCTGGCCAGTGCATAACGTTGACACCATTCTGCTGTAGAAAGTCCCGAGTAACTCTGGTAGTGTGGGCACGGGCATTGTCATGCTGGAAAACGTTGTTTCGATGACGTGCGAAATGTGGGGTCTGAGAGCTTGATCGATGTAGCGCACTACTGTGATGCCGCCTCCTCTCCCTGGACCAAGATTTTGGAACACCACAGGACCCACTCTCTGGTTCAGGCTGATTCCACCAAAAAACCTTATGCTTGGACCTCCCCATGAGTCTCGTACCATGACACATTGGTCAGAATAACGCTGACCACGTTGATGCCATATTCTGGTCCTGCCATCTGCAGTTTATACGCAATACCAACTCTCATCTGTGAACAGAACAGTTCTCCATTGCCTGTGTCGCCAGTTCTGGTGTTGTTGGGCAAACTGTATACGTTCACGTCGATGGCAAGGGGGTGAGGATCGGTCCACGGTAAAGTCTACAGCAATGGATGTTCTCTCTGGTGAGACGTTGGTGCACTGTATCGATACTGATGGGTCTTGTCTTCTGTGTGTTCCCACTGTCTGATGTGCTTTCTCAGATGCCTGTGTGAAGGGATTCTCCACGTGCTGTCACACAACATGGCAGTTTTGTCGCCTTGTGGTAACCCTTGGTCTACCAGTTCTGGTGCGATCATCTGTAATGTTGGTGGCTTGAAAGCGTTGCTGAAGTCTGTAGATGGTCCGAACATTGACCTGGAAGTGATTGGCAGGGGCTTGGGCAGTGTGGCCAGCATCGAGTCTTCCAAACGCCTGGTTCCTCTGAGTTGTCGTGCGTCTTGGCATGCTGCTGACGTAGTGTGAATGATTCAACCAGGTATTGGGGTGCATTTTATAGGGCTGGTCCCGGTGAACAGCACGTGCAGCATTAGTTACATGAAAATCATGGAGAACACATTACAATCTCAGAAGTCAGGTTGCGGTTTTGAGAACATTTCCTGGGTTCAATTCAGGAGCTAGAAAGTAAAGTTAGAAATTCACGAAAGGTAGCAGTCTACCGCACTTATATTTTCCAAAAATGGCAATAATCTGCCAATAATTTTTCCTCGGACAAAATGACAGACTGTTTGGAAGTTTCATCTAACAAGTATCGGAATTCATAGCATTCCTGTTAGAGCAGAACAGTAGGACATTCAACCCCATTTCATTTCATTTCATTTCATTGGATTCCATTAACTTTTGAACTAGCAACTGGTTCCATACACTTGGTATTCTTTGTCTTGGGATGTCCCCTTAAAAGAAAACCTTCAGGCTTTGCCAATTCGATTACAATCAACATGAAACTTGCTTGTTCTTTTCCCGTTTGTGCATCGATTGACAGGCTAATACTATAGTTATTTGATATTATGTCATAATAGGTCAATGAAAATTCTATTTTCCAGAATATATTTCGGATAAACTCAAGGTATTCAATTGAAATTTGGTACTCTCTATTACATATCAAGAGTTACAGACCAATCCAATAAAGACTCAGTTTTATGGAATTTATTCTTATAAATGCATGCATGTAAAATTTGTTGGTATAGGACATGTTTAGCTTCAGCAATGCTCTCGGAATACTTTTTTTATACGCGATGCAGTAATAACGGGTTTCACCGGTGCCACATTACCCTAGACATGTCACTTCCGGTACCAATGAAACCATTAAACAGGTTTCCACATCAAATAAAATGGACGCCGAATCAACCAAATCCAACAATATCAATTCATTTTATACATTTGTTACATGTAAGTGTACAGTACTTCCGGTGATAATGAAAATGTTCAATTAGTTTTATGAAATTAGAAATGACATAAGGCATCACATGGTGAAAATTTTATGTAAATCAAATAATAATTGCCACTTTTATAGACCAAAAACCTTGAAAAGTGACTTGTAGAAAATCGTCTATTTCTCTGCAACCGTACAAGTTAGAAACCATTTTCTGGTATCTGTATGATCGCATAGGTTCAATCTATTTGCTGATTGGAATCAAATATCATAATTTTACAAACATCACAAATCAGACTCATTTGAATAAAATATCTGTTTTGAAGCCCAAAAATACAGTTTTTGCCAAAATGACGTTACTTCCGGTGATAATGAAAATCTTAAATTACTTGTTTGAAATCGTAAATGGCATTAGGTATCACACAGTGAAAATTTCATGAAAATCGAATAATAATTGACACTTTTGTGAACAAAAAACCTTGAAAAGTGACCTGTTGAAAATTGCTTATTTCTCCGCAACTGAACAAGTTAGAAACCATTTTGTGATATCTATATGATCGATCGTATGGGTTCATTCTTTAAGATGATTAGAATTAAATATCAAAATCTTAAACAAACACTAAATACGACTCATTTGAATAAATTATTTGTTTCGAGGGCTATAAATACAGTTTTTGCCCAAATTTCGTCATTTCCGGTGACATTGAAACTTTTAAATTGAGTTGAACTAGTCACAATGACATTATGCATCAAATGGTGTCACTTTTATGAAAATCCAATAATAATTGACTCTTTTACAGGCACAATAATCTCCATATAGATTATTGCTACGAGTTTATGAAAGTTACGAAGTAATATTTTAAAATATGAAAACGCTGGATGGGTTGTAAATAGCCTAATTTTACACCTTTTTTCACCTTTTTATCGAAATAGCCCGAAAACGGAATCGAAATTAAAAAAACTGGGCACAACATTTTGTGCGCCTTTAAAGGGCGCACCCTTTCAGTTATACCAGATTTGAAAAAAATAATATTTGCTTTCGAAAAGTGGTACCTAACTGTCAAAATTGTAGTTTTTGGTAAAATTACGCCACTTCCGGTGCCGACAGATAACTCTAACGGTAACAAAAAAAATGGCAATTGAGACAAGGAAAATTACTGAGACCAAAAAAAATCAGATTTTTCCTCAAGTCAGATGACTCGTTAATTTTGTGTAAAACACAACTAAAAAATATTCATAAATGCAAAAAAACTTTTTAAATTTTCGAAATTTGGCGCCTAATATCTGCGAAGATTTGCTGAAAATCAAAAATCAAAAGTAGCGTAGCTATGTGCCCTGTCTCCGGCTATGCCAAAATGTATCGAAAGTTAAAATCCAATGATTATTGTTAAAATTACTGCAATATTTCTAAAAACGATAGCTTCGGTGATTTCGGACATTTCACATTGTCGCAGAACGTTCAAAATAGCTTTATCCTGTAAGGCACACCCACTTTTCCAGTAAAACCGAAGAAATCGTAACGATCCGACAAGCAGTTGCTGAGATCTAATCAAAAATAATTTGGAATAATAATAATAATAACTAGACCTGCAAACAGCACTGAACCGGCTTTCAGGAATCAGACAGGAAGTGTGTCATACAATAGCCCATTTATCGAGCTACCAAACGATACTTTAGATGTTTTGATCCGGTCACACCCGACGGTGAAATCCCGATTGTTGCAAGAGCACCGATTTTTTTTACTGTCTTTTTTTTTTTTAAATATCGAATATTTATTTGACTACTTCCTGTTTACTACTTCCTGTTTACAGATCATTATCGGGATAGATTTAACAAGTGGTATGGGAACTTATTTTCCTGTACCAGAAGTTTCAGAAAGATCCATTTGACAGTTTTACCTCCCTTATACCATTAGAAGCAGATTTACAGATATATATATATATATATATATATATATATATATATATATATATATATATATATATATATATAGTTTATTCAGTATTGGAGGTCACAGACCCAAAGATACAAATATACAAACAAATATATTTACAGATATAACGATTTTTTGACTTCTTTTCAAAGATTGTGGCCCTTTTGGACCATTTATACTATATTGAGGCTTTTAAATTTGGATTCACACCATAGACCACCGTTAGGACTCTAAGTAACAGAAGTTTAAGAAAGGAAATAAGAGAAGTTTTCGAAATAAAAGCGTCTGATTAGGCACTAAAAAGGAAAATAATAGGTTTTCAGCGTTCCATTATATATTGCCTAACCCGCGAATTTTTACCATTTAGATCTCATAAGATTGTCCATTGTTCGAACTATCCAATGACACTTTAGTTG